TCTTCCAAGTTTCTTGGCATAGGTGAGGGAGCACTTCCAGTGTTTTATCCAAATGATAAAATATCTCATTGGGTATTCTGTCAATTCCTGGAGCCTTGTTTTTCATCAATGCTTTCAGTGCAGCTTGGACTTCTTCCTTCCATACCATTGGTTCTTGAGCATATGCTACCTCCTGAAATGGTTGAACATCGACCAACCAAACTGTATTTCTCCCTTCAATTCTATCAATATTTGCTTCATATATTTTTTGGCTCTGGTATTAGGTACAGTAATGTATTTGTATATGTTTACATCCTCTTGACAAACTGACCCTTATTATATCATTAGATAATGCCCTTTTTGTCTCTTATAATAGATTCTGATGCAGAATCTATTTTGTCTGATATTAATACAGCTATTCCAGTTCTTTTTGCTGTTATTTGCATGGAATTTTTTTTTTTTTTTCCCATCCTTTCACTTTCAATTTATTTGTGACTTTGGCTCTAAAATGTATCTTTTGGAGACAGCATATAGATGGATCATTATTTTTATTTTGTTTTGTTTCTTTATCCATTCTGACAATTTCTGCCTTTTCACTGGAAAGTTTAATCCATTTACATTTTAAATACTGATAAGGACTTACTTCTGCCATTTTGTTTTTTGTGAGTCTTATATACTACTTTTGTCCCTTATTTATTACTTCAATGCTATCTGTTCTTGTGTTTAGTTCACCTTTTTTTTTTCCTCTCTGAACCATTATTTTTAATTTGTTCTCAATTTCCTTTTGAATATGTATTTTGGATATTACTTTGTGGTTACCATTGGGATTACACTTATCACCATCACATTATAACAACCTAGCTTAAATGGATCCAATTAATTCCAGTAACATATGAAGATTTTTATACCATACCTCTTACCCTTTATATCATGGTCACAAAGTGTATCTTTATATATTACTGGCCCAATAAGATAAACTTATAATCCTTTTTTTTTTAAAAAAATATAATTGTCCTTTATAGCACATAGGTGACAACTACCAGAGTTAAAACCCAAACCAAACCAAACTCACTGCCACTGAGTCAGATCTGACTCATAGCGACACCTCCTTGGGTTTCCGAGGCGGTATCACTACGGAAGTAGAATGCCCGACCTTCCTTCCAAGGAGTGGCTGGTGGGTTTGAATCGCCAGCCTTCTGGTTAGCAGTCAAATGCCTTAGGCACTATGCCACCAGACCTCACTCTATATGACAAGGTAGAACTGCCTTATAGGGTTTCCAAGGCTGTAAATCTTCATGGAATCAGACTGCCTCATCATTCTCCCAAGTAGCTGCAGGTGGGTTCAAACCACCTATCTTTTGGTTAGCTGCCAAATGCTTTAACCACTATGCCACCAGAGCTCCTTATAAAGGTAGTATCACTATGGAAGTAGATTGCTCAACTTTCCTTCTGAGGAGTGGCTGGTGGGTTTGAACCGCCAGCCTTATGGTTAGTAGTCAAATGCCTTAGGCACTATGCCACCAGAGCTCCTTATAACTAGAGTTAGAAACTGAAAATACTATACAACTGGCCTTGATATTTGGCCATAAAATTACCTTTACTATAGATCTTATTTTTCTTTGTACAACTTCAAGCTGCTTTTTAGTGCCTTTCCTTTCAATCTAAAGGACTCTTCTAGCATTTCTTATAGGATAGGTCTTGTCATAGATGTTTGTCCATGAAATTACCTTTACTATGTATTTTTTTTTCCTTTGTACAACTTTAAGTAACTTTTAGCGTCTTGTCTTTTCAAACTAAAGGATTCCTTTTAGCATTTCTTGTAGGGCAGGTCCTGTCATACTGAACTCCCTCAGTTTTCTTATATGGGGATGTCTTAATTTCACCCTCATTTTTGAAGGGCAGTTTTTGCAGACATGGAAAAATTTGATGACATTTCTTTCTTTTCAGAACTTTATATTTATCATTTCATTGCCTTCTGGCCTCCACAGTTTCTGAGAAGAAAATGGCCAAAATCTTATTGAGGATCTCTTGTATTTGATAATTCACTTCTCACTTTCAGGTTTCTCTTTTTATCACTGATTTTCAAGAGTCTGGTTGTGTTAGACTGGGTTCTCTAGAGAAACAAAACCAGTAAAGCTTATATATGTATGTATATAGAGAAAAATTTATCTTAGGAAAATGGCTCACACACTTATAGAAGCTGGGAAGCCCAAAGTTCCTGGATCAAATGTCAAGCTGGCGGCTTTTCCGACTCTTGCAACCTCAAGGGCTGTGGAGCTCAAGGCTGGCAGGCAGTACACC